AACAGCCGCGTCCTCAACAAGCATGCTGATAACCCATATGATTACACTTGTCAGATCTGGCTAAGCCAGGTTATCTGCTCCCTTTTCTTAACTTTGCACTGGTCTGGCTTATCAAGATTCCGCCATACACAAGTAGCAAAGAGTGAGGCTGCGGAACGTTCGCTAGCAATACTAAACATTGAGGGAGGGAAGAACCAAATAGAACACCCACAACACTCCTCTGGGACATACATAAAACTTGGAGCGATACAGAGAAGATTAGCATGGCCCCTGCACAACGATGACACACAAACTCGAGAAACAGTCCAAACCGGAGCCATCCGCAAGAGAGCCTCGATCCTGGTGGTGCTTTTAGAATGGTCCCTGTGCCCTTCCAAGTAAGCATTCACAAAAATTCTCTTTGTGCATTTACCAAAAAGTCCATGCATGGCTTCCATCTCTAACGCCCATGTAATCTGCATTACCCCCTCCAAACTTTCAACTCCCTCGACATCCACCTGCCATCAGGCAAATAACATTCAGTCAGAATTTGCGTGTGGCATACCTTCTCAGTGAATGAGCCAAACTTCGAAAGCAAGGAGGCAATCGAACCTCCGGGCACAAACTCCAGGAATATATTTAAGGCATCTTCTTCTCTGTCGGTTCCTAGGTACCTCTGAACACCCAGATCACAAACAACAACCAAAAGCGAACAGGTTCGGTGCTTCACCAGAAAAGGGAACAAGGACCCACTGCGTTCTCACAGTGTAAGACTATACATATGACTCTGTTATGAACCTAGACCAGGTTTACGTTAAGCTGTACACAATAGCATCCTGGAGACTACCTGACTTCTGCTGAAAGGTACCCACATTGAACTGTATATAAATGATTACAAGCGCCAATCTGATGGATATGTTAACGTTACAGGCCAGCCATCCTGGCAAAAGACAAAAGAGGATGGAGAGAAGTAACCCAGTCAGACCTTGCCACAATGTTAGTTTGATGTTGTTAACCTTGCACTTCTTTTTCACCCCCTACGTGCTTCCTCCAAAACATGAACACAAAGAGGGCTCCAGAAGGCTATGATAGTGCAAGAAGTGCGCATGACTTTAGTCCCGAATTTACACCAAGTTGGTGCTCCCCTATGAGCAATACTACCATAATGTGGTCTGACCGTAAGGTGAGCTTGATGCCAACCTGGCTCTTGGCCTTTCCCATCAAAGCAAATTACAGCGTTGCACCTTCTCATTTCTTTGCTCTCGCTGTGCTTTAACACGTTTTCCTTTTACACCACCAAGTTAACAAGCGTCCAACATCCATTCCTGCAGCCAAGAAGTGGCACAGAGACAGCACTAAGCAGAGACAGGAGACCCAAGGAGAGAAAAGAACTGTTAAATATGCACTCTTTCCTGAGCCCTGCTTTCCCGACACTGTTGTGCGTCTGAGCCTGACATACTGAACCAGCACAGGGACGGGCCTGTCCGGGCCACCAGGGCAAGTTGGCCAGTAAGCCTAAACTTTTGCAGCCCGTCTTGCAACCCCCTTGCAAATCGGCATGCCCGCAGCTTACATCCAGAAGAGTGGTAGTTTGAAATATCAATACGCTACAAAGCACTGCTCAACAAGCATTGGGCTAAAACGAACCAACGACCAAAGGATTAACCATCATGAGAGATCAGTTGCACCTGTGTGCTTCCCCTCCCCTCCCCCCTCCCCCCCCAACCCTCCCTTTGAGAATAGCATCAGTGGGCCGTGGTGCCAGAGGTGATACGAGCATCCCCTGTTACCACTGGCTCCTGTTTATTGGCAGGGAGCTGCACTTGCTGGAAAACGGGTTCAGCATCCCCCTTATTCTAACCGAATGACGCCCAAAAGCCTCACCAAGCGTTGACATTGGACAGAGCAAACGTAGAGCTGCTGAGTCACCAAAACTCTCTCCCTCCCTCCCTCCCTCCCCCCC